TGCCTTCCTCAGATGACTCAAAGAAAGGTCACAGGTGGGGAGCCATGGTGGGAGGGGTTGATCATTGAACTCAGCAATATCATCCAATGACAGACCCAATTAAGCCAGCTGTGTCTGGATACAAAGGCCAAAAGGAGGAATGGCAGACCATTTATTCCAAAATGCTCACTGAGGAAGGAAGACACAACCCCAAGTGGGATGCTGTGATAAGGATCAATATTTGGTAGCATATTGTAAACAAAGTATCAAACATCAAAGGTGAAGATGTTCATTGGACTTAGTGTACAAACTCTGGACTGGAGAAATGTGGAAAGCCCCCATGCAGAGTCAAAGCTCCAGATGATGTACAGGTTCCAACATCTTCAAGGCAGTGGGCCTGGCAGAATCATAGACCAGAGACTCATAGTCCAGCTTGGATTGCTGTGGTCCAGTTCAATAAGTGAGTAAGGGCAGTCTGAAGCTGCTGCTCAATAAACCTCATGTTCGACGACTGACAAGAGATATGGAAATTGTCAACATAGAAGCCATTTGCGACAGTAAGAGGAAGTTGTTTAGTGATAGCATTGATCTTGATACTGAAATTGGTGACATTCAAGATAACAGCCCTGAGGGACTCCAAGTTCCTGCATGAAAGAACAGGAAAGGGTTGAACCCATACAGACTTGGAATCATCTGTCAAGTAAATATTTAGAAATAAAAATGGGTAAATGGCCATGCAAACCAAAGGAGTGGAGGTTCTGCAAAATTCCAAACTTTCATGTAGTATCATAAGCTTTCTCAAGATCAAAGACACAAACAAGATGCTTTCTCTTGAGAAAAGCTTCCCTGATCGAGGTTTTGAGATTAATCGGGTGGTCCATGGTGGAGCACTCTCAACGAAAATCACATTGGGTGAGAGCAGATTGTTTGATTCAAGGTACCAAACAAGATGTACATTAAACATCATCTCCAATACCTTACAGAGACAGCTAGTCAAAGCAATTGGATGATAATTAGAAAGAATCTTGGGATCCTTCCCAGGCTTTGAGAAAGGAAAAACAAGTGAGGTAGGAGAGAGAGATGGTACAGCATCTCATAGTGAACATCATTGGTTCTGACTAATTTACTGCCAGGCTGATGAAGAGCAAGCTTAAGTTCCACCAATGGAAATTGACAGCCACTCAGCCCAAAACTTAATGGCCAAGAAGGCAGAGAAAAAAACAGAGGTGCTTGAAATATAAGCAAAGCCTAGAGCATTGGCAATACTTTGTACATCAGCAATTTCATGGCCATTGGAGAGCAAGATAGTTTGTTTGTTTTTTGAATTTCGTGCAAAGCTACACGAGGGCTATCTGTGCTAGCCGTCCCTAATTTAGCAGTGTAAGACTAGAGGGAATGCAGCTAGTCATCACCACCCACCGCCAACTCTTGGACTACTCTTTTACCAACGAATAGTGGGATTTACCGTC